TTTCTCATGCTCAACCCACTTGATAACCTTGACAAAACAAATGTATGTTGACTGCCTTGATCAAATAAACATCTGATTTCCATCGTTCCACCAATCTTGAGCATGATGAATACAACAGCAGTTGGCAACAACGTAGTTTTAATACCAGTGGAATTCTCTGACACTACAACTTTTAAAGTTATGACTCCTTGCTCTGGTTTCCAATTGTTTGCATATTTGCTTCAATCATGAAAAAAAATATATTAATGAATTGGCAACTCAACCACAACCACAGCTGCCACAAGATTCTCACATGAAATTTTCTTCATTATTTAAGCAAATACTGTATACAAACATTTGGAAACTTCTCATGATCTAAAATAATGTTGAATTATTTATTATAAAAATGCTACCCATGGTTTGTTTAATATTCATCCTGACAGTGATACAGCCAAAAATAGATCCACCAATCACAATCACCATTACATACAGCCTTACGTTACCAAATATTGCCACGTAAAATTGTGAACACGAGACCCAGGTTGGGGTAGCTGGATCTTTGGCTGACTGTACATTATTTTTGCCAAATTTGTGTGAAAATTTTTATTCCTTGGCACAACATTTCAGGATGCTGTTTAAGGGATATTGATATTTTTCTCCACACCTTCAGTCTCTTGATACTGACCTCTCTGAGTGGGGCATAATTTTCAATCGCTTTTCCAGTAAAATGATGAAGTGGGAATTGACATGTTTTTGTCATATTATTAATCTTTTAGAGTCAAAGTTTTGGTCTTATTTTGCACTCTTACATGTTTTTTCTCACCATGACTATATTACCCTGCATTACCAAAAATAAAGTAAGCCACCTAGCTGGGCTTCATACACTGACAGCCAATGGTTACTTGACATATATTTCATCTGCATTTTTTTTTCAATTAGCCAATAATTATGGATGTTTTGTAAGTGACTTTTGACCTTGACCTCTGTCTAATGTTGGTCAAGTTTCTTTACTTATTTCAGACCTGGACCAATAAGCTGGGTAAATTTCCTGACGATTGAATAAAAACTGCAGCTGCAAGAATCAGAAAGTGACATTTCCTTTTGTCCAATTTGGGTAAAAAAGTGGAGTACCTATTCTAGGCTAACCAGATGTGACAAGATCAAATACCAAATATCGATGCTACAGTGTAGTAACTTTCAACAACCTTTGACCTTTCAGTCAATGGAGTGAGGTCACCTGGCAGCAATGTAGGTACCTGCTGTAAATCGAAAGTTGCGAATTCGTATTCAGGGACAAGTTGTTGGAGCTTCCAACAACTTGCTTAGACATAAACCATTGACTCTTCAGGCTTCTACGCCCTTGATTCTTCAGGATTCTACGCCCTTAACTCATGAGACATAAAGGCAAGCATGAACTTAACATGCTTCCCTGTTGGGCGCTGTAAATGCTTCACCTTACACAAGGATGTACGGGGGTGCCAAAAAAAAAAAGAAAAAAGTAAAGTGGTCATGAGATAAAAGGTCCTATATCTCATTTCCGGATACTTTATAGTTATCAGTCAATAATTGTGGATGGCTCCTATCATGAGGGTAATGATCATTATCAGTCTAAGGTGATCATTAATAGATTTGGCTCGTTATTAAATATTAGTGTGAAGCATTCAGAATTAGAGAATCTGAGTACTGAATGGCTGAGCAGGTATCAGTTTATGTCACTCATTCATCGAGCACACAGCAGGGAAAAAAGACGAGAGTGTTGCATGTTGTGTGGTCACACGTGGAACATTCACCTAGTTTTAATATACAGTTAACCCTCACTTTACGCGGTTAATGTAACCCGGAGGGTACCGCGGAAAGTGAGGAACGCGTAAAGTGAATAACATAACATATGGGATTAATTGAAATGGAGTCCGGGCCGATCCCCAAACTCCACTTTTTGACGACACACAACTATGTTGTAGTAAAAATTTTATCTTAACTTTATGATGGTATGAAAAAACAAGTAATATAGAAGAGGTTAGGTTAGGAAAGATAAAGGTTAACATAGGAAAAATAAAGGTAAGGTTAGAAAACTAAAAATTAGGTGTAACACTTACGGTAGTAGAAGAGATGGGTCGGCATACGGGGATGGAGGCTGGTTCCGAGGCAGAGGGCAGATTACTGGCCCTCAGGTGAATCACCATTACTAGGTGAATCACCATCACTGTCACTTACAGTTGTCAGGGCTTCCCTGACAAATCCCTCAAAGTCAACTTCACTGTCACTATCACTGGCTTGGGCTGGCTGTGGTGGGTTGCGGGCGAAGAAATCTGTTATGCTTTGCTGACGGCTGGCGTTGATGTTGTCGTGATACACCTTGATGTACGGCTCCATAGCCTGCACCAGCCGGGTATGGAAGACTTCATAGCGGTCATCGTCATTGTCGCGGGAAAGGAAGGACTTCATCTTCTCTGCACACTCCATGGCACCCTTAATATCACTATGACTTAAATTGTGTTCTTCGGAGACTGACGCACCTTCTTCCTCCTCTTCACTGACGTGTTCTTCTTCCAACATCTCGTCGGCAGTCACTTCAGGATTTCTGATCACCTCCAGGATGTCGTCGTTGGTGGTCTCGGAGAAGCCTGGAACTGTAACAGTCTGCGCAGCTTCTCTGGCAAGGTCCACTGCTACTGCAACATTCTGAACCTCACCAGTCACAGATTGACTCCTCCTCTCACCTGGTATTCCATGCAACACATGTCTCCATGCGTGACGAATTGTAGCAATAGACAGCTGATCCCATGACTCCACCAAGAAGTCCACAGCTTTCTTGATGTTAAATACTCTCCAGAATTGTTTGAAGAGTATTTTTTGCTGTTCTAACTGTTGATCCTCATCTTCTTCGCTCTTGCTATCGGTGGTGGTGTCACTCAGGTTACGCAACTCTTCCCTGGTGTTGGTGTAGTCGTTCAGGAGCTGGAATTTTTTTGTTGAGAATGCAGCTTTCACATTGCAAATCAACTCCTGGTCCATGGGCTGGATTAAAGACGTAGTGTTGGGAGGAAGGAAGACCACTTTTACGTTGGGGTGACGATCTAACAGTAGGGGCGAGTGTCCTGGTGCGTTGTCCAGCAGCAACAAAATATTAAATGGGACATTCTGTCGCTCACAGAATTTCTTTACATCGGGAACAAAACAGTCATCAAACCAGGAGAGGGACAGTGTAGAGAACATCCATGCCTTACGTGCGGTCAGCCAGTGGACATTTAGCTTGGTCATGTCCATGCTCTTGTAGGCGTGCGGCTTGCGGGCTGTGTGGATCACCGATAACTTGAGCTTACAGGTACCGGAGGCATTGGTGGTAAACAGGACGGTGATGCGTTCCTTCTGCATTTTCCGGCCCCGAATCCTGCTGGCATTCTTCACAACGAAGGACTTGGAAGGTAGTTTTTTCCAGAAAAGACCAGATTCGTCCATGTTAAACACCTGGTCGTCACTGTACTGTCCTTCCTCCATAATCTCACGTAAAAACGGAGGAAATTCCCGAGCCGCAGCACGATCAGCACTCGCTTCTTCACCACCAATGTTTATATTGGTGATCTTGTTCCGGATCTTAAACCTCTGTAACCACCCAGAGGAAGCATTAAAGGGTTTGGGCTCTGAAGTTCCCATCTTTCGTGCCACTGCCATGTACAGTTCACGTGCGTAGTCCTTAACAGAGCGCGTGTCGACCGCCATGTTCCGTCGCGCCTGACGCACCAAGTACCTCACAAGTAATTTTTCTGTCTTGAGAAGCACCTGGTTGTGAAAATACTTGATCATAGAAGCACCTGTAGACTTTGTGATCTTCATGTGCTCCTTTATCTTGGCTGAATCCTTCTTTATAGTCCGGATCGTAGATTCGTTCACGCCATGCTGGCGCGCCAAATCAACCTGCCTTGTTCCTTTCTCCAACTCTTGGATGATGCTATACTTCACCTCGTAGCTTAAGGAACGTCGTGTCTTCTTTGGTTTAGTGCCGCTGGGTCCAGGTAAGGAAAGGTTTCTCTCTGGGGGTGGTGGTCCGGCGGAAGCCATTTTACGGAACAATGGATGCGCGTTTACACGGAGTGGCCTTGAGGGATGAAACTGCCGCGGCTAGGTCAAGCGTCGTCTTTCCTCCCTCCCTCCCTCCCCCGGGTGGACACGTCATAATACTTTAAGCCAATTACAGCTAGCAGCAGAGGGGGGTAGGGATGCATGGCCAATCACAGGTCTGATACGTCATATGACGTCAGTGATAACGCAACAAAGACACACACTGCGCAACCTTACCGCGCCGCTTGCCCAAGCGGAGGGAGGAGGAGGGAGAGGCAGGCAGGCAGGCGGGCGGGTGGCGGGTGGGGCGAATCTAAAAATAGCGTCGCGCCGGACACTCTCCGCGTAATGGGGTTCACGTACCGCGTAATGTGAGCACGTGAGGTTCTGGCAAGGCACCGCGTTAACGTGGAAACGCGGAATGCGGGACCGCGTAAAGTGAGGGTTAACTGTACAGTACCTGTACATATAATTTTTTAACGATTTCCTCCAAACTATATGTGTTATATTGAAATAGCATTTTAAGAGACAGCATTTTGTATTCTTTGAAGATATGAAGATAAATTGATATGGTAAGATAAACATTTTTTAGGCTCTTTTACATATATTTTGGCACCAAAAGTACATGGTATTTATGAATAATAATATATTACTAATAAAGAGCAAGTCATAAATCATGATTACCAATTATTTTTTAACAAAACCATTAATTTCTTGAACAGTATAACAAAATGTTTGTAAACAATTGTTGGTTGTCCAAAAATGCTGATGCATTGCCATAATGTAACCATAATTGCAAAAATATTTTAGACCTGAAAAAAAAAGGGAGAGCAAATTATCATGATACTAAGAGACTTGAATACCGGCATATGCTTTAGGACAAGTAATAAAATATGGATGATATACAATATGATATAGTGTGTTGCGTGAATATAGAATTTTTAACAATCACTTATCTCATAATTCATGTTTTTTATCTATTATTGTTATGGAAACAAAATAAATAGTTTGTTGATCATGACCAGCATGCCATATAATCTGCTTTGGTGCCTTAATGGATGATTCCATGAACATAACTTAACCTATTGATTACAAAAAGCTGCCCATGCTAAATCTTTCTCAAGGAAATTGTCCCAATATACAATGAGTTATGATATGCAAAGTTATTAATCATAATATTGAATCACTGAGTTTAAAACTACTGAAAATATTTTTTTCAGAACATCACATACAACAATACAGTATTTAAAAAATGAAACCCTAGCATTTCCAACTGACACAAATAAATGCTTTGAGGATATACAGCAATGTACTACTGTACTTTATTACAAGGTAAAACTTAATCCTAACTACAAAGATCAGCATGATCAAAATATTTTGGAATGATTAGCAAAAGAATGAGTTATCTATACAGTATGTGAAGTAATAAACTGTTGGTTGTTTTTGCCATATTCTTAAGTGCCACACTGCCCTACACTGATGGGTAATTCAGCTTACATTAAATGTGCAATTAAGATAAATGATTCCACATCAATTTCACCCCAAAAAGTAAAGTATAAGACTATCAACTCATAACAACAACTTACTAAATGATCAATATCCTCAGATTAAAGGCCCATGAACTGCATTATTCATCACATAGTTCTATAACTGTTTACCAATAAACATCACCAAATAGAATCCTGTATTCTATTTGACATTGACTATACGTGTACCCTGATTAATTCTCAAATTTAAAAACCTAGATTGAAATATAAATTACCTACAATGACTTAATTCACAGTTCAACTAATGTGTCCCATATGATATACCTGACATATTATAATATTTTAATAAGCATTGTTACTGCTATTGCCACCGCTTAAGGTACAAGTGTAAACTATGACAGAAAAATTAAAATTCCTCCATATTGTAAAGTACCTGTACATCTGATTATGCCATCTGCTGAGCAAGGTGATACCATATTTGTTATCAAGGGGCTGCCAGTGTGAAACCTGTTGATCCCCAGAGACCACCTCTACAGGTGATGGCATGTAATACTGTCCACTTTACCCTGCACCAAGATCAAACCTGGGTTCTTAAGTTGTGAAAATTCACACTTTATACAAGAAAATAGTTGGTCCACAATGTTAAAAAAAGTTTCAGGATAAAACATCAATTAAAAAAATACTTCATATCAGCTGAAATGCTTGAGATGAACATAATCAAATTAATGTCAAAATTCTAATGTTGAAAATTTTCCAATATACATTCATATTAAGGGAATGTAACTATAGAGGTGAGCTAATGGAAGCTTTGAACCACTAAGTAAAAATGGGTCAGTCCTCTTAATATTTCAATTAATGATAAGGAACATGTTATGCAAAAAATATATATATTCCTAAGACTGCTGGACAAATAAGGAATTGCTGAATATAAATATATAACACATTCAACATTCCTAATATTATCACTTATTTTCAATACACTTTATCACCAACTGATACTTGAAACTATTCATTTACTTCATATAAATATAGCAAAAGATAATTCACTGAGCACACCACATGCAGGTAAGCAATGTTACTTGCGTGTATACTGGAAATTAATTATTTGTGAACTTAACATTAATTTAGTTTGTCTTTTGTTTGTGACAAAATAAATTTTGGGGATTTGGTTTGTTAATTCTTGTATTACAGAGTATTTAAATTTAAGTACAGCATCAATTTTCACCAATTACTGACTGTCATTTGATACAAAAATATGTTTATACATAATAAAAGATGTCATCATAAACAAAATGAACATATACATATGAACCTAATAAAATTAATAATAAAAATAAAAGGAATAAGTCATCAATAGATTTGGACTCCCTTTACAGGGCTTAATCTTTACTTATTGATTAACCTTCTTTAAGGGTCTACTGGATAACATTCTCACAGTACACAATATTAGTGCAGGAGGCTGTTGCACCCCCCACAATTGCAAACATTAGGTATTTTATCAATTTACAAAACTATCTTAAATATTCCTAAGTGTGAAAGAGTAAAACATGCTCTAAATTGCATCTGCTGGACTCTGGAATTCTGCAAGAGCCTTGAGTGCCGAGACAGGCTTCTTTTGACTACCCTTACGTACTTTGGCTCTCACCTCTTCTGCTTTCTCACGTCGTACTAATGGTTTCTTCTCTGGCGCCTTCATCTTCCATACAACAATGGGGGACTGAAAAAACGAGACAAATAATCATTATGTTCCTAATAATGGATATGCATTATTTACTTGAAAGCAGCTTTTTGAGTTTATTACTAATACCAGCTGTGATACTCTTGAAACCATCAATCACCTTAATGAACAATTTACAGGGAAAAATGACTTCCTCAAGACAACAAATAATGGATCAAATATTATAAATAGAGGCCTATATCACTGTCTCATTTTTTCATTAACAGTTTAAGTAATTTGACAATTAATCTCTTACAGCAAAAAGACCATAATGTACTTAAATATGACACTGTACAACTATTCCCCACATTGAAACATCGAGAATAAATCTGAGACAAGAAGAGTACAAAAATAAAGTATTATGTGCACAAATTTTACAACTGGTCGTTTTAAATAACATTTACCAAAAGATATATTAAATAAATTCATAATGGTGAACTTAAATACTGATAAAAATTGTGTTAACAGCAACCATTCAAAATTCTACAAGGAAGGTAATAACTGTGCATAAAATTAGCATTTCTAAATTCGTTTTTACCCAAGTTATATGGTAAATAGGTTATGAACACAATCTACATTCCACACTGCAGGTGATTTAACCTAACACAGAACACATAAAACAGTTTGATAGTTGTAAGTGGCCTTATCACAATTCATTCAGAAAATTCCATAACAAGATATGCAAAAAAATCAGTAACTTTCTCCTTAAAAACCATCACCGTCCTTTAAGATTTAATGAGAGAAAATTACCAAAATCTCAAGTTTTGGGCAACAATTTGCCCCCGTTATTTTCCTGTTTCTTCATTGTTTTAATTTTGAAAATCCACCATACTAACATGCGAGTACACTGTGAAACATCGTTGCTGTATTAATATAGCAATAACTGTTACAGTCAATCATAACAATATCTATTTCATCATTCTTTCCCAATCTAATGCCATTAACAGTTTCTATTTCTCGTCTATTTCTAATAAGCCATTTCCCATATCAAAAACAGTATCTCTGACAAAACATCATCATCCACATAAATTTTACATCTATACACACTATGGTTTCCCTAAATAATCTTTCACTCTGTTTTTGTTTCATTTCCAGGTGTCACGTGAAGTGCGGGGCAGAGTACGTACGGTATATTAAATGCACAAGATATCCTCATATAAAGTCGCTTCAATTAACAATGTTTCTATATAGCATTGCTGATGAATTATATCCCATATCTAAATTATCTACAAAGAGTCACACAATATTTGGTTATAATGTTGACCTTTGTCCACAATAGCACAACTACTTTGTGATGTCATGTGTGGGTCAGCAAAGAGGACACTCAATGTTCCCTCCTTGATCTGCACTTTCATCATGTTTGTTTACATTGTGCCCAGCAGCTAATGTTTGTGTTCTGGAATTTTGGATATTTTCCTTTTATTATTTCTCCACACATACTGTACTAACTACCCCAAGATGAGTGCAAAGTGCCCAAGAAGTGGTGGTGATGGCGATGATGATGATGTCCCTCAAAGAAAAGGATATCTATCAGACTGGGCACTAAGTTAGAAGTCTTATGGCATTTTAATGCTGCTAAGCATGTGGTGGACACTGTTGTTGCTCTTGGTCTCACTCCCACCACTGTGAGACCTATTATTGGCAATGCTGACTGATTTACCCTCTTTGTGACCTTGACTCCACATACAAAAACATCATCCCCACACCCTCCACTTCAACCAAGCTTTACAATCATCATTCTTGAGAACTGTATAATATTTTTTTTAAACTTATTTCCCTGAACTAACCCCCTATTTCCATTAATTATATAAGGAATAATTGACCTGCTATCATTATTTCACTTAAAGTTGCAGTTTCAAGGATAGCAACCCCAATATAAAGTGAGGACATCCTGTACCAATACAGTACTTGTCTTTATTATTCTTCCACACAATCTGCAACACTCCACAATTTCTTCAAAGTACATATAACCAAGTTCATGAATAATCCTGCACATGAGGTGTACAGTAAACATAGTCTATAAAGTCAATGGGAAATACAGTGGGTCTCTCTCAACAATATAAAACAACTGGTTTTTATCCTACAGAACAAGAGTAACCTTTGATAGTAAAGCTTGTCTCTACCACTGCTGCCATGGAGGATGGCTCTTACTCTATTTCATGGAGATGAGTTAAAATGTTTTGTATATTGTAGAATATGTCCAACTTGAACGATGTTTCAAAAAATAAGCTGCGTTCAGAAGCTTGCAAGGACTAATTTAATGAATCAGTACCCCATCTCATCCACTTTAAATTATTATGCTAAACACCATCATGTTGTAGAGTAAAGAAATATATTTGAATTATGAACAACTAATGCAAATTTTTAAAATAGAACAAGTTAGAGCACACGTAACATAATACACTTCCTGTCGTAATGTAATACTGTACACCACTAGAGTATATTTTTTTTCAATTCACATATATGATGTCACTGTCCTGACACTACAACAGTGCTAACTTAATGTTCACAGTCCTAACTATATATATATATATATATATTTTTTTTTCTTTACAATTGTTATATCCTACTGTGAGAAGCTCTATTTTTCTCACTATGAATATCTTGATATCTTCAGACACACTCACACTGTTATCTCATGAAGGTCAGGAACCCCTGCTTATTTAACCTGATGATTAACCACTCTAATGCTAATCCAACCAAACACAATCTAACCTAACCCTCCTAGGCAGCATTAGGGTGTTTCATCATCAGGTGAAATAAGTGGGGGTTCCTAATCATAATGAGATCCCAAGCATGATATACTTATATATCTTTCTTCTGCAGTAAATATAACATTGGAAGCATTGTAAAGAAGTGAATACTAAAGTAAAATATTGATGACTGAATTATGTTAGTGACATCTATGCAGCAGCCATATATTACTGTACTGTACAGTATATTGGCCTGTTGCTTATCCTAAAGAAAAAAAGTATAGTACAGTGCTGTACAAGTACAGGTATATTCCATTTCGCTGTACTTTAACACTTTTTAAATAGTCCATAAATTCTTTTAATATATACAGTACTATCAATGTTGTAAGACTCATAGGAAAGCTTTACCCTCTCTTTTGTAACTCACGTAGAACAGAACAAACCATTTTTGTATAAATATAAAAGCTTGAATATTATATATCGTAACACTTGCTGTTGCATTCATTAATGTCACATAAACAGATTAAGGGATGTCAGACATCTATAAACAAAATTTTATCCTCTATAAAATAACAATGAACATGAGACACCTGTGGTAGTTACTGTTTCATATGGCATAACTTAATAACAAGAAGTACAATCACTCATAAAATGAAACTTGGCCTACACTGTAAATTGTTGCAAGTTCCATTCACATAAGATGTGAAAAGACATTATTTATGGAACCTCAACTTAATGAATGGAAATGGAAAATCCGAATTGCATATCGATGGCAATCAGAAAAATAGATAGGAAGTTAGAGATGAATGGATGGGCAACTGGGGGCCATATGAAGAGATAAGGAAAAGAGCAAAAACAGATAGAAGACTAGAGACAGAGACAACACAGTAGCAGAATACACACCGTAACTTGCATATAATACAATACAATACAGTGGTCCCTTGATTAACCAACACAATTGGTTCCACAGTCGGATGTGAACCAAAATTTTGTTAACTGAATCTATTATTTCAATGGTATATTGGGTAATTGGTTCCAACTCACAGAAAAAGTATACTGCACATACAAAGTTCTGTATACCGGTAATAAAATTAACAAAACATTAAATATAAACTAAATACAGTACTGTACTGTACAGTATACTGTATAATAATAAATAAAAACAATTGAATACTGTATTTTAACTTACTTTGAGGTGTGTATGTCGTATTACCGGCAGCTTTGTTAACATATCAAACAGCTGATTGTAGAGGCAGTCGATGATGACATGCCATATTCTTTACAGAGTGCATTGGTTCTAGTGCCTACTTCATGTTTCATAATAATTCATGCACTGTATATTATCAATATGTTAACTAAATTTCAGAATGACCAATAATTTTAATGTATAAATGCAAAAGTATTCAAGAGCACAACTTTCTTGATATTTACTTCACTGGAAAAGAATGTAAACATAGAACTGATTACTGTATTGGCGGACTAGCCGATCAGCTGATGCGCACAATAAAGCGTGTTTCTCGTAAGGCTGTCGTTAATCGAAGTTTTGTTCGTTAATGGAACTGAAAATCTTTATGGGAGCTAATTTGTTAACCAAATTTTTTTTAATTGAACCATTCGTTAATCAAGGGACCACTGTATTAGGTTAGATATGTTAGTACACAAAGCTTGTACTACATGTTATACTGCAGTTAATGACTAAGATTCCAGATAGTATTTTCACCATATTTTTAACCACTATTGTAAGAGCTATTGTATTAAACTACCACTACCACACCGTGAAGCATTCATTCAGTTATGTTAGTTCTTTCTCTTATAATGGATAAAGAATTCACTCCAGACTAGTTACACCTCAAAAACAATTCATGCCATCCCCACATCTATACCAATCTGACTCCGTAGAGCACCGATATGTCACTGTTGACAGGACAGTAGAAGACATGGTCGTTGGAAGCTTTAGTGTTGGTAGTACTAGATTCAGTGGGAGTTTGGTGTCTCAATGGTGAGACCTGAGGAACACTTGTCTTTACCTCCCGTTCCCTTGATTTAACATGTTTTCGGGGAACAGGATGGGCCTCCGTCCCTCGTTTCTGTAGCCCTGCACCTGCACTCACTTCCTGTTCCAACAGATGGTAGACTTCATCTAATCTATGGTCACTCTCTTAAAGTGACTTCAAAGTAATACCTAATCTATCACTACAATAATTTAACCTCTGGTACAAATGAATTTTATCACATAATATATAAACAATACATGAAAAAAAATAAGAAGCTAACTTGAACAATTTGAAAAATATAAATTCCTTATTTTTATTTTAATCCTTATCATGTTTCAGAGTCTAAATAGCCTGATGCAAGTCAATAAAAATGTCAAAAAGCATAATTAAGTTATATTACAACAATTTTCCAATAATGAAGATTACATACTAACTCAAGTTTGCTATTAAAATCTAATTACAGAATTCTCGATGGAACTATCATACTGTATACAAAAAACCTTTAATGTAAAAAAGAAAAATCTGGTAAGAAATAAAAATGGCTGAAGAAAAATCCAAATGAGTAACATTTAATTGTGTATCAAGTTTATCGCTCACTTGAGACAGATTTAAATATACAGTATATGTATAGTAAAGCTATGCACATTAATGTATCATTCCCAAATGAAACATAAAAACAATTAATTCATATTGCTATGAAAAAGCTATTAATATAAAAAGATAAATAAAACCATATAAGCACATAATCATGCAAAAGCAACAAATATATACAAAAATGCAAAATGAAACAAAATTTTGATACATCTTAATGGGATAATCCTTCTGTCTTAAATATGCACTTGGTCTTTCATAAAAACTCTCATTTTACCTCTTTCTTATCTTTTAAATCCTACTAATTATTTGCTTTAAAACTACTAAGTACAACTCCAGATAGTGACAAGGTTATACCCAACCATCATCATAAACCACAATGAATATTTAACTTCAATATGGATGCAGCAATTTTTTTATGATAATATACAGCAATACAAACTGTAATTATAAACATGATATCTCTTTTGTCATGCGTACAAAAAACTCCCAATTAGACTAAAATTTAAATGATACATACCTACAGTAAACTGTACTGTACAGTACTGTATATCTTGACAATAAAAAAAATGCTCTATGGTTCAGACAAGTGGTTTCAAAATTTAATGTAGTCATAATTATATTCATAGGTTCTTACAATGACTATTTTCCAATTTACAATGACTTTCATTTTAATTAATTATATTCATTGGTTCTTACAATTAATATTTTCCAATTTACAATGACTTTTTCATTTTAATTAGTACTGTACCTGTAACTTGCATGTCAGGTATAGACTTCTGGTAAGTTTGCCTTGGTAAACATGGAGGCACAAAAACCAAGCACTTGAGTTTTGTGATTAAACCTTTGGATGCTACATACAACTATAATTGAAGGGAATTTTATACCCACTGGCTACAGAATTAAACTTTAGTCCAAAGTGGAAAACTTGTTATCTTTTTTTTTGGCTGTAGTTTTTAACTCTGACTGCACGAATGTCAAATCTGGAATGTCTGATTTCTACATTAACCAGCACATCCTGTCATCTCTCAAATGTCAGAGAACATTATTGGATTGATGTTACATTCTGAAATTTTTTTGGCATTCTTATCTATTTAAGCTTAAATTTCATAGCTTTAGAGTTCATCATTATTTATTTCAATACTAATTATGTTTGAAAACCCTACACTGAATTAAAAAAGTAGAAAACCAAAAACACGATTCTGTATTTTGAATTTTACTATTAAGTGAGAATTTTCACAAGCCCTCTTGAAATTCAAGTAGAAGCTAAATGATTAATCATGGTGAATTTTCATCAAGATTCTCTTTTTAGTCTATGTACTAAATGGCTCTTTAGCTCAGCATGACAGCATCCACCTCACAAGCGAACGGTCCTGGGTTCCGGGTTTGATTCCCTGCCAGAGTCGGGACACTGGGTTCCCTTCTCATACACTAACTCATGCAAACTCAGCAATAATATAAGTAACATATTGGGTACAATTGCCAATGGCAGAATTACCCTTTAGTGGACTACCATCCTGCCATGGTAACGGACTAGATGCTGAATGCAAAAAATCAGAGGATCAGCATCAACTTGACCTCCCTGCATCATAGCAAGAAAAAGATTACAATACTGAAAATAAGTGACTATCATTTAATTGCTGTTGTTTTTTCTACTGTAGTTTCTTTTAAGATAAAATTGTCACTCAGTTTTTATATAAATTAAATTTTAGTTTTAAATGCAAATTTCTTTTAATGATCAATTGCTCTAAAAAAATCTTATAAGGCTTCTCTTTTTTTCAAAATGTATTTGGCTCTTTGACTGGAAAAAAGAAAATACAATATCATTGATATTGCTACAGGCCACACTAGCTTTACAAGTCAATTTTCTCATTTTTATTTTGTTCAGTGTAAATACACGCCTTCCTATCTTTCAGCTTTGTCTGACTTCCTACTTTCACTTTCCCACTTCATGTGTATATTGAAATTTTCAATCATGTCTCATCTCACATAGTAAAAGACGATGACTTAAAACTCAAGCATGCACCGTAACTGGGAAAGTAAAAGCCGAAGAACAATATTGCATAAAGATGTATTGTAATAAGGAAAAGGACAACTTTTGAAGGCTAGTATGCTGTTAAGCAAAAATAGTTATACTTTCCTCTAATTCAGTATAACTTTGAGCAGATAACTTGTGTACAACTTTGTTCTGAATTTGGTCAAGACAGAATAAACATGAGCTGGAGTTTATAAGTAAAATGTTAATGAGTTTCCCCTCTTTAAAAGCATTCAATAATTTTCTAAGCTCTTAAATTCTAAATGTTTGAATACAATGCCAAAGAAATAATTAAAGCATACTCTAAGAGTCTTTATGTATCTGCACTGCTAAAGTTTAACCTTATGCATTTTTTTCCAATCATAAACAACAAAGGGCCATTATTAATTACAGGAATTTTGGAATGGATGAGGACAGATATCTATCAAATTCTGTTGTACACCAGAAATTTTGGAACTTCTGGAGCAAGCAATAGTGGAAGAATATCGTCATTCTGTATGAAACTTGGCTAAGAAGGTACGTTCATTTACACACACTCGAATGATTACAAAGTAGCAAATATAAACTACATTCCACTACCAAGTGAATGAGATAGCTCCCAAGGAAAATGACTATTTATTATCGTTGACAAATAAACTTTTATAACATCATAGAGAGGAATTACTGTCTTTTCTAAAACATTCAAGTGCTAACTCTAAACTTTATCTGATTATTGTGATTTAAAAGACACAAAGAACATGTAAATTGTCATTCAGACAAAAACACATCAACTCATGCAAAGCTCGCCACATAAAAGACCTATTACATGCCTGCATTTCCATACCACATGGTGAATTTTTGCTGGTAGGCAGACAAATATGAAAAGTTTGGTTAAAACAGTTCACAGCATATGCCCAAGTGAACGTAAATATTTCCTAGACTGTATACTTCACATTGAACTTGGCACAACTACCTCTGCAATGTAGCTTAATTATACCTAAATTTAACCAAATATTAATCAATACAGTACAGACACTGGCTGTGCTTATTCATAAAACATGCAGAAGCAAAATCAGCAATTCACTATCTTAATCTTTAAAGAGTATGCTGTGAAAAGATAGCAAATATTATGTAAGTGCTTCTGGCATTTTCAAAAGATACAGAACAAACAACTAAAAATATATTTCACTTACTGCTGATCTTGCCCCAGGCTGGTATTAAAAGCATGAAAAATAGAAATGTTAAAGGAGAAACGCAAAGCAATGACTAGCCTAAGAGCATGGCAACTTTAGTACATTTGTCCTGAATTGAAAATAACAATTTGCTAGACTAAAAATTATATTACTTGATTGAAAAAAAAAGAAAAGCAAAGCTTTTGTTAAGGGTTATGGAGTATACTAAAGCTTCATCAGCTTCAAATAACTTGTAAGTTTAATCTAGTTACTTCAAAGGCTATTCAAATGCTATGAAGAAATTTTAGCAGAACTTTTTCAGTCATAAAACTTATAGTGTACAGAATGAAAAGGTCCTGTTTTGATTGGGGGAATAAACCTTGAAAGCCCATCATAAGTGTTTTAATGTGCATTCTAAGAAAACATATTACCAATTATTCCTAATACATCATGAATGATCTGTCTTGGTACATGCAGTTTTCCCCATAACATAGTGGCTAGTGACTGAGAGCAGCCAGTGTCAAGTTAATAGACACAATAGCAAACTTATAATACATACTGAAGAATTCTAAATACAATAAATTCTCATTAATTCTTTAAACTCTTCTGCTTTCAATATACTGTATTCACATTATATGTCTCACTGTACTGTACTGTACTGTACCATACAAATTCATAAAAATTACTGAATTGTAATGTGAACTAAGTGAGTCAATATTTTTTCTCTGCAATGTCATTCTAGGTAGTGCATCACCTAATTTTGCCTGACCTTTGAAGTTTGAGTTTAATTACAGAAGGGTACTAAGTAAAAAAAGAGATGAATTTGATAACTTACTTTCTTTTCCCTCTCACACAATTCTCTCTCTCCATTCTGAGGAATAAAAAATGAGATGCACACTTCCATATATGATACTACTATTTTACAACTGTTTATTTCCCTTTCCTATACATTCTCTCACTCCTTATTTCATTATCCTTGTGAGACCTAAGTTTCTATCAATCAAGTAAGTAGCCTGTAAAAGTGGTAATCATCAGCTCATGGAGGCACTCACAACACTCCATGATATTTCTGGAGATAAACAATGAAGAGTTGCTTTGACATTACAGTAGCTGGAAACTTATATTTATTTTTATTACACATTTTCAGTGATGATGTGGCATTTATACGGGTACTGTCTGTACCCCATGACTTTTAGCTTGGTACAGTCATATATTCAGGACCACAAATGAGATTGTTTGCAATTTTAGCCATTATAGATCACTGAGGAACATCCCCCTCACACAGTTAATCTGTGGTGAATCTTCAAATGATCCATAAAGGTTAAAATTCTATGTGATCTTGTTCATGGTTTTGACTACAACACCTCTTTAGTGTAAAAATTTTGAAGTGTATGTACAGTATACAAAAATGTGGAAGTAAAGTAATTGACATCATTAAACTCCCTGGAGGAATACAATGAGCTTTCAGTGTTCTAGTAATATTCTAAGCCTCTCACTAATTATCAAGCCCATCATTACTAAGTCTATTTTATATCCTATGGAGGAGCACACTGATCCACTCCAGGCACTCTGATCTCTAATTAGCACACCCTTGCACTCACCACTCCTGACGTCTGTCCTACCAACATGTTTCCCTCTACAACATGCAGCCATGATTATAATTTAATTTCACCTCAGGATTGTTTCAACAATTCTTTTCATTTTTTGTAACCAATTTATAAATACTGTATATGGTACTGTTTGTATATTCCACTCATGTATGTCAGGTCTTATATAGAGTACTGTATATTATTTCATATCATATAGGTATGTTAATATCATCTGTTCAAAAGTGGTTATATTTTCTTAAATGCACATTCTTCAATCAATACCATCGACCAAATCAATGTAATAAAAAGTAAAATATAATAATGTATGACAACAAATGACATTTAACAATGCATACATCTACAGAACACCATAAAAAAAAATGAATATCTTGATTTGATGAGAAACTATTGTAGCTAAAGATATGCAAGCCTACTGTATAATAAAACTTTGAAAATAATCACAGCCACACAAACAGCTTCCTTCAGTTATTGAATAAAACCTGAAAATCTTCCTTGTTTATGTCACACGGGGATAGACAAGCACTTAAGAATTTATAACAAATACTAGAAGTAAAACATCCATGAAAATGTACAATATTTCAACCTAATACTGGTAAACAAACTCAATACATAATATATGCATTCCTTAAAAAATACATCAAATAAGTGATTAATATAAAGACTTTTGATATTATATAGATAGGAATAATGATATAGTACTTACAGGTAAGGTAAGCTGCCGAGAAAACTACATTAGTAATAAACATTTTAAATACTAAAAAACGTTCTTCACATCACCATATGAAGGTTTTATTCTCACATCTAGAACAAGTAGAAAGTAAGAGAAATTATTTGAATACTCACAGCAATAGTTCCCTGACGCGGATACTTAGTTGAGGCAACGTATGAACACTTCACAGTCAGGACCACAGCATTCATTAAGTTCTTTGCTGCCTGAATCAAAGATGTGGCAGAATCCAGCTGAAAAGGAAATTACCCATTAAGAAAGTTAAATAGTCTAGATAGTAACTTACACCATAATATACCATACAAGTACTGCTACAGGTTTTCAATATCTTCTCTCATGATGTTAAAATCTTAAGTGATGTGTTTCAGTGGTGGCCTTGAAGATTAGGGTCATCAACACCATTCTCTTCAGCAATGATAAAGGTTCATCATCCATGAAATAGAGCACATTGTTTTAATTTCACAAAACAATCCTTTCATCTCAGTGCAATGCTCTTAAATCATGTTATCCATTGTATTTTTCATGAAGTACTTACCCCAGACACAATAAGTTCACCAGAAATGTTCTGTACATCTGCCTTGACCTTTGATGTAATATTCAACTGGTGACAATACAAAGCAATACGGTCCAAGTAAGCTAACATATCATCTTTGGTTCTTGATTCAGGACACTGATCAGCAATCTGTCTCGAGAGTTTGTCTAACTTTGTTCCTGCTTCAGAAATCTTTTTAGCAGCATTGATGACATCCATGGTTGTCTTGAGTGGGCCTCGGCCTCTGAAATTAAAATAGAAAGAATCTGTATATGAGAGAATTTCAAAATAAACTACACTGATACTTTCAGAGTAAACACCCATACCCAGTACAGAACACTGACATATTAACTTTTACAAGACAAAATATGATGTTAAACAGTCAAGCCACACCTGTCAGCAAGTTTCTCTTTAAATTTTTTTTATGCCTTATAAATTATAGTAATGCTTTGAAAAACATACAGGGTGTCCTAAATTATTACCCTAAAAACAGTATGCTCTCATGTTTTAATCAGGGTAATCATTTATGGATACCCTGTAAAAAATTTGGTGCTAAAACAGTAAACACTAACCTTGTGAAATCTGTCATCTCCATCATGATCATACACATATGCTTGGCCAAAACAATAATGTCATTACCAGTATCGTCCCACTTAGCAACTTCCTGGTCAAACTTCACCTTCTCCAGACGGAAGTTTTCAACCTATAATGTGGTTAAGTAAAGAAGGAAGCACAATATTATATCACAGATACATATAATGGAATAAATGTACAAATATTAGGACAACTTTGTTACACAAAAAAGGAGTGACAAACAATTTGTTTCCATACTAGTTGCACATTCATTTTTTTTTAAATATCTAACTTAAGTCACCTCCACATGCTAATTTAATTTTAAAGTTCTTAATAACAATAAAATAAAAAAATAAAAAATAAAGTTGTACAAAAAAATGACCTAAAATACTGAATAACAATTTCACATCAAAAAATTAACCCATCAAAATTTTGTTTAATAATTATATTATATGGTGATTTTCTTTGGAGAGGGAATAAAAAATACTAAATGAGAAATAAATCTAAAAATAATACATATTAAGATGTACAGTAATCCACAGCAATGTTAGACTTATCTGAATGACTGTAAGAAACCTTTAAACTTGTTCCAGAATAAAAAGAAAAAAGAAAAAAGGTATCTATTATTAACTTTTGCAGGTGAATGAAGCAAAAAATAAACTTGTTCATTCACGCATAGTTCTTGAAGAGTGTAAATGACACACACATACACATACATATTTTCCTTGATTTACTGTCCTTCATTCATTCTAGCTAATACAAAACAAGTACAATATTCTACTATGGTAATCCACTCCCACAAGACCCCATTTCTAGTTAACACCTGAACAAGCAACACCCCCCCCCCCCACCGTCCCCAATGTACATAATAAACAGAGAGTGTAACCAACCTGAGCTGCAATTTTGTCCTTGTCCTCCTCGCTCAAATTTCTCATGGCGTCTCTGGCTGTGGTAATGCCGCTCACTCCTGGGTACTCATCAATGGTGGTTTCTACTGTGTGAGCACTCGCTGTAAGACCAAGCATAATTACCAGTTTTCTCTCACTAATATACCATGGAAAACTATAGAATGGTGAATACATTTTATCCAATAACTTCAAATTAAAAACAAAACAAGAAAACCAACTCCTATTTACTTCTCCTATGGCAGTGTTTCCGTAGGTGACAAGAGCTATTACACGAAGGCTTTTGGATGAAAGTGTCTTATCATAAGCAGATTTTACAGAGCAACTTGAATGTAATATAAAAATAAATGGACTCCACCTACACATATGCACAACTATCTACTGTATGATGAGTAACCTTACATTATGAAAAAGTTTGTAAAGACACCTGTGACCCAAGTCATCTGTACAGGTGTATAATGAAATAAAAATGATAGAAAGCTGTTGGGAGAGGACAGAATAAGTAAACAAGTGAATTAGGAAATATAAAGAATGAAACTTAAAGGGCCATACATGAATTTAGTCTCAATAAGAGTTTTCCTTATCCGATATTGAAAGTTTGTTTGGTTATACAAAAGATATAATTAAGTATATTTTGGTGTGAAGATAATTAATGAAAACTACTGACAAGAAAATTGGTAGGTAACTTACATTTGCTTCTTATCTCCACAGTGTGATAGTCGTCCATCAGGACATCATCTGGATCAAGCTCATCATCAGCTTTGTTCATTAGCACGGCCATACGGATCTCTCTCACCCCATCGTACACCAGATGTGAGGCATCGATAAACTCGTTCTCATCGACCTCCTTGCCTGGAGTGCTACTGAGAGCTTCAACAGCCACATCCACACGTTGGGCAAAGTTTGGTAGCACTGAGGAGAAAAATCTCTTTCAATATCAAACAAATGCTAACATGAATTCAAGTTCACTTACCTGATCTCTAAACTTTCATTACATTCAATAATGACAAATTTTAGTGGATTTTTATATAAAAAAAAAATTACCTACTGAATTGTTTTTTCCCTATAAATGGGATAAATATAACTTCCATGCAGAGCACCAAAAAACATCAATGCCAAAGCCACACACAAACACTTAAATATCTCCTTCCCTCCAGCACCACGAATCTGAAAGTCATCTTTCTTGATCACCAATACAGTTTCTGCCAAGCAAGATTCACAGGTAATATTCTTATCTTTATCACCAATCACTGGGCATCCTCTCTAAGACATTTTGGGGAATCTGATGTTGTGGCCCTTAATATTTGTGAAAGCCTTGGTTTGAGTCTGGCAGAGGGCTCTAATCTCCAAGCTTTCCCCTTTGTAACACATGGGCTACTTACAACCTCTACAGCAGTAAAAAGATTAATAATTTGATATAAGTTAAGCATGATAGTCAATCCTACAATTTAAAACACATGTAAAATACAATACTTGAACATGTTTAAAATATTCTTACCTTGGTCTCGTAAAACTTTCACAGCCTCTAACACTCGATCAGTGTACATGCATGGCTCGTAATTGTCCATTTCAGAAGCAACCACATGACAAACACGAGTTGAGCGGCCACGGATGGCACCTGCAATGCGATCTAGGGTCTCTGGATCACCCTCATTAATGGCTCTTACACAGGTCTTCACATCCTCCAGTATGTGACTCTCTGTCAAGAAACACAAATGGGAACCAGCTCTTACAAAACAGATAATATTTTTAAAACATATGATAATCAGTTTTAAAATTAAGAAAGTATAGAATGTATTTATCAAATGTCTTGAGTAAAAAAAAAAGTTTCAGTGGCAAATAAAAAACAAAACTAAACAAAGCATAAAACACTATCAACCAATACCTGAGACGGCCAAGAAATCGTCAATCGTTGTTATGTCATCAACAGATTCTGTCAAAATGCGTACTTGATTTTCCCAAGCGTCCTTGAAGGCATCCATATTCTCTTGTGTTACCTACAGTGGTGTGAACAACAGGTTTGTAATAGGAAACCCATAAATTATGATTATTACAATACACAGTACAGTATAAAACAATCATTATCAATATCAAATGCTAGATTAAATATGCAGAGCCATACAACATTAAATATTACATTAATCTACAGATAATATATACATGTCATTATATTACTTGGATATTATGAGGGAAAAAGGTATACCAACTTACTTCTCCCAATAATTCTTTAATAATAAGATAAATACAAATTAGATACACAGTGTTTCTCGAAACTTCACACCTGATGTTATCCAGAATTAACATATATATCACAAGGCTGTACATTGGCTTGCTGCACAACTGTACAAAGTAAGGCCTAGTTTAGTACACTATCATATTCATGAAGGTCAGTGAACTACCAGTGGTGAGAGAAGCTATTTCTCTCAATACAGTATTTACACTAGTTCTTCAACCATTAAATACAACTATTCCACAAACCTTAGACTTGGGTCTTGCTGAGAGGATGCTTGCAGCATTAATAACCTGAGGACACAGCTGCTCAATTTGGGCTGCACCATATCTCACCATCTTAACGCCATCTTCGTTGTTGGACATCGTGCAGGCCAGATTGGCAACTTCCACTAACTTATTAGCGTGCTCAGTAAACACCTGCAAAGTAATATTGCATTAATAATGACATTCACTAAGCTTCTAGTTGTAATGCTTCTGAGGATATATCATTTACTGGAATGACAGTCATACCATGCAAATATGTGATTACTGTTTCACTTTCATTATCTTTACTTTCTCATTTATAAACCATTTCCAACTCTAAATAAGATCATAAAATGACACCTATTATTAGCTCCCACTAGATCTTCCATGTGTCCATGCAGCTCTCCATCTGTAAGTCCATGTGTGACATTTAGTCTGTGTTTTTGGTTTTCATGATATGAATGATCTCCCTGCTAGTGTCTGACAAGCCACCTACACACAGTTTGTTTCTCATGCATCTGTAGATATGCATGATATACATGTACAGTGTGAATGGTTGGAAATAATGCATCCCCTAAATGACAAGAGATAGAACTCAAAAACTACTTGGGCTTGCAACATTCTCAACAACCCTAAGAATGATCATTTTATAAAACTTTCATAATAGAATTGAAATAAATTTATTGAATCTATGTTAACTGTACAAACTACCCAGTCTGTAGTGAGTTATCAAAACAAAATTCTCACATGAGTAGCCCATAAAACTTGGTTAACAAACCTGCGCATATTCTTCCACTTCCTTCTCATTCCCATTTCGTGCTGCTTCCACCAAAACAAGAAGAGGTACATTTGTCTCCAGGAAGCTGCAAGAGAACCAGATTTTGAGCATATTAAGTTACTGCACATTTAGTAAGAGCAGAACAATGACGAGGTGCATGAGTTGCCTGACCAGCAGCTTAAGTGATGAGTAAGTAAGTAGTAAGTTTAAGTATACAAGTGTAAAGTGTATCCTTCTCACATGTCCATATCATCTCTTTACTCAATCCACTAGTTTACACCCTTTGCTAATCTGCCATTCCAAACATTTCACAAGTGTTTTCAGCTGTTATCACCTACAATTTTACGATCTATCAAAATGTTGTAGCATCTTGAATATACTTTAGAAACATAAATCAAAATCATAAGATATGAAACCAATTAAAAATTCATCTCCCAGTAAATTAAAATCAACTATAAAAATTTCAAGATATCAAACCAAATATAAATTTATCTTAAAAGTTATCTAAAATAACACATCAGGTAAAACTGTTATTTTAATGAAGAAATCCAATAAATAATGTGTACTGACCTGTCCGACACGTGATCAACCACCGCTTTACGAAGCTGTCGTCGCAAATCCTTCGTCTTCCGGTACATGTGATCAATAGCCTTATCTAAGTTCTCTGATGGTTGTTTGCGTCCCATCTACAACACAGGACAACAATGGGTTATATAAAAACTTAAAATGAAGACACTAAAATATCACCATGACTTACACAACAAACCTTGAATTTCACTTAAGTGACACGAGCTTCATTTGTGAGACAAATACATCAGTTAGTAGAAATATTCCCTAGAATACTTCAAATGTTACTACTGAGGATTATACACTCAAAGAGTGTGGGATAGTTTAATGGTTGAAGTACTTTGGGAATATTCTACAAGCGACCAATTTTTCTACGGTAATTCCCAGAAGGAAATGATGTCAGAGAGCGGATGGGTAGTAAAAGGGGTGAAAACAAATGGTGGAGACCGGTGCAAGTCTTGTGAATAAGTAATGCTGGATGTAACTGGCAAGTAAATTAGCTGCTGTTTGTACAAATGAAATGGCTCTACAGGGCTATTTGAAAGAAAAGTTACATATGCTACTGAATGGATTTGGAAGACTGTGTACACACTAGGAGAAAGATAACAGTGCATGTAAAAAAGGTGACATAAATCTGGGTTAGAGAAATTCAACCTGTATTTATTTAAAGAGATACAGGTTGCCTATATTTATACTGTGAGTTTGTTCTTATATAAGGAAGAGGTACAAAGGAACACAGGTTGCCATAGTTGTTTCCATCCAAAACCAAAGTCCCCCTCTTGACAATAATCCTGTGCTGTAAAAGTTTTCATGCATAATCTTATAGCATATTAATACATAATTAATGGAAGGTGAGTTTCAATTACAGGTAGAAAGTATTACCTATAGAAATTATAATTATAACTAGCTACTTCTTTAATAAAAATATGTTGGATGAGGTATTAGTGTGCATACTTTACTCAAACAGAGGTGCAGCTGTACATATACTACACATCTAGGACAAACAAGTAATGTACTAAATAGTGTTAAGATTTATTTTAAAACATCTTAACATCTGGTGGGTTTGTATTGCTTAAACGTGCAGGAGAGGATGGTAGTGAACAAACAATACATTATGAGGCTGCACACACATATATAAATCTCATGAACCCAAACAGTCAGATTACCAAAGACAGTACTGTATAATAATATATATATATATATATATATATATATATATATATATATATATATATATATATATATATATATATATATATATATATATATATATATATATATATATATATATATATATATTTCATTAGCCACGCTGGACTTTCTACATACAATCAACACCTCAACCCGCCAGGATTCGAACCCACGGCACACAAGCCTATGACTGTGACCGGGGAACGCTAACCGCTGGACCACCAGGATACTAAAAGCAGTCCTAGACTTTGTTATATTTCACACAAAGCCTGTTCAATGAGTAATATTATACCTGTAAGGACATTATTGGATGGTTGGTAATGAATGAAATTATCAAAGTCCTCAATCAACTAATTCAGTACAATATTTTGGTTAATACAAATGTGCTGGAGGGAATGTTAGCATAGTAATTTATAGGTGTTAATATATTGTCTAGTATGCAGTATACTGTAATGATAATTAGATTCGTTTGGTGGAAATGAACTGCATAGAATATAACAAATTTATATTGTACTGTACAGTATTTACACTGTAGTCACTGAAAGCAGTCACATTGCAGAGCAGTGTTTTATATCTTGACATTATATATCAATAAAAGGCTTTATAAATGTACAGTAGACACCCCTGAAGTATTGTACTTTACTTTATTCACTGAAAATGAATTAATTAAATAAATCATATAGCTTTTAACCCAACGAGAATGCATATGTGTGTTAGGGTGATAGTAGTGAGGTATGGAGGGAGTGAGTCTACAGCAGTGTGCTCTCCATAACTCATTCATCAATACCTGTACTTGTACCTTTTGCCTTCAGTCCTTTAATGCAAACATTTATCCACATGTTCTCTTCCCTAAGTTAACATCTTCCTCTAATTCTGGTGCAACATCAAATCTAATCGATATGTATTGTCCATTAAAACAAGAGTAATCTGGGGTTTTAAATTTTCATTATGGTCAACATGTTTTCCCTCAACTAATAATGATTCATTCCCTTGTCATGTTAATTAACTTACCTTGTAATAATCATCTGTTCTATCCCACTGTGATTGTCAAGGAATACAGTTACCAGCTGTATATATCAATTTTTTATTTAATCAAACTCTCCATTTTCAGGAAATCCTGTTAACATGATTCAATTTAAGTTGGGTCATTAATAAATCATTAGACATTTTACATAAACTTACATTGTCCATATATTCAGTTAGGAGATCTTGCAGCGCTTGTCTCACTGCATTACATTCTTCCACTATCTTAAGACGGCGATCATCACGCGTACAGAAGGAGTCAGCCATGAGGGCGGCACCACTAATGATGGACTCTAAACGTTCTTCCAGTGATGGACGGGTGCGCACCTCATTGTAAGTCAGAGGGTCCATATTGATGCGTTCCTGAATCAAAGAGAGTTAGTATATTCATTTCTTATTACTCAAAGAAGAAGGGTAAGGGGAATAGATATATGAAGTACATGCCCACCTGGTTAGTGAGGCATTACAGATACAAAATATTGTGTTTGAAAATATATATTATACATACTGTTAATATCCACTGAATAAAACATTACAACACTATATTTTATTTACAAAACTATATCCAGTTAGCTGTTCCCTAGACATTTTACCTCTAATTTATGTGTAAAGCCCCAACAACATAGTAGATACTGACCCCTTCAAGCGAGAAATACACAGCATTTGTACTGTATATTTCTACTTATAAAACAATTTGCTTGTACAAGTGAACAACCAATACAGGTGCAGAATCCTTTATCCAATATTCCCAAAACCATTGCAATAATGAATAATATTTTAGGCCAGGAAAAACACAAAACAAATAATAAAGACCTATACTGTACACTATAAATTGAAACCGCTGAAAAAAATGACCATAAATAACAAACACTAGATCATTCAACTCTTGTTAAAGCACTTACATCAAAGTCATCCAGAGCAGAGGCTAGTTCTCCAGGTCCCTCATAAGGCATCTGGCCAGCCCCTGTAGCCTTACCCTGCGCTACGTCACTGATGGTGGTAACTGCTTCACATACTTGTTTGAACACAAAGTCTCGATTGGCCTTTGCTGCTGCTAGCTCAGGATGTCGCACATATGCCTGTGAGATTAGTTCAAGAAGAATTGTAACTAAAAGACTCAAGGTCACATAAACATACTGTACAGGGCATTAAGGGACCTAAAGGGGTAGGGTTAGGGGTTTGTTATAATTAGAAATAACATTATTTATTTATACAGGGAGTTTGGATTAAGTTTAGGGTTGACTAGGATAAGGGTTTTGAAATAAGGATTATTTTCAAAACAATAAATATATTATAAATGTATTCATTGTCAACACTCCACTCTCAATCTAATACCTTTGAAGCTGTGAGCAGCATCATTGAATTCTTCTTAAGTACAGCCCGAGCTGAAGCCAAGTCATCACGAAGCCTTGGGTCCTTGAGTTCATTTTGTCGTTTGGCAGCTTGGTTAATGAGGTCACTTGTGTTCTTACCAAACAAACGGAAGTTATCGAGGAGTTCTGACTGGCTTGATGCATTTTTAACCTTTTCTAAATCATCTTCCACCTAAAAAATAAATAAAGAAATACCGGTAAATAAATAACATAAATCTGATATAAATGTGACTTATTAAGGAGCTGTTCACATATTTCATTCAAAACATGAAAGAAATTACAACTGTTAAAATATTGTAGAAGTTATAATCGCCAGCATAGATGGTTTAGTCCTATGACTATTCACAGATAAAACAATTAAAATAGGTATGCACACGCACACACATGCACTCACACATACAAAACATCACATAAGGTTGAACAATAGAGGCATGAGACTGATTTTTCAAGATGATATTATAGGCAGATAGAACTTTAGTAAAAGGCTAAATTTAAATATCTGTTATCATCTAATGCAATCAACTGTTCAAAAATCACCACTGAAAAATCAATGCCACATAGACAGCAGTTGGTGTGAGGCAGCAGTGATGTGCACAAACCATTTTGTTCAGCCACTCAAGATGCCACTGAGATATGACCACCACTATGCAGTTGCCACATTTTGTATATTAAGTAATAAACATTATAGGCACCTGATAGACAATTAATATGCCAAGGCTAGAGTTGAAGATTTAAAACAAATTTATGAAAATTTTCTTTATTTTTAGGCACTTATATAAAGCTGCTACCCCTCTAGCATATCTGAATGCTGTGATGCATAAAAAAAAAAAATCATTCAAAATCACCCCTTTTGTATATTGCCATTTTTCATTAAAATAATTGAGTACATTCTGGGGGAAGATTTCTATAATATACATGATTGCATATTGAGCACAGGTATCCCTCGCTGAGCATAGTTCCTACAATCCTTGTACTGTATATGTCAAGCTGAATAAAAACACACTTAACAACCATACAAACACATGTATTGAGGGAGTTGCATTCCTCACTAAAATTCTTTTGGACATGGGAACTTTAAAAACATGCTATATAGTCATAGTAAATTTTCAAACACTGAAATATCAATATCAATTACCTGATCACCTTACTCATGACACGTAGCCACAGTTAGTTTCATCTCTAAAGTAATAGCAAAAGGAGCTGAAGATAATTTTCACTTTAGCAGACATGATAAGGGATTGAGGGTATATATATATTGTACTGCATCAGTCACTTCACTACAGATGTTATTAACACTGGACAATGTTGTATGTACATAAATATAAAGCATCCCATAGAATAATTCATATTGAAACAAGTTCAACAGGACATAACATGACAGCTGATTATTTATTTGTCAGATACATTTATGTGTACATACTCACCCTTGTGCTTATGTCATGTTTGCTCAATATTATCCCCTCCTGAGCAAATATATCAATAAAACATTAATACTGTACATTATCAAACTACAGTATATATACTTGTTTTCAATACAAACCCACCAGATATTAAGACAGGTAAATATAAATGTATACAGGTCACTACTTGATAACACTGGTGCTTCATTCGCCATATACTGTACATATAGTGTACAGCTGCAGCAAAGTTATGCTGTATAAGGTATGCACACTTATATCCCCTACAGCACTTTTTTATTTAAAAATATGAATACTGTACACTATAAAGTACCTGCACTTGTATGAATTACTTATTTCCATAAAAACTCATCAGATACTAAGACATGAAAATATAAATCCATACAGTATTTATTAACTCAACCATTTTGTTCGTCACAGTACACAAACAGCATGAATAATCAATCTTGGCTAAGGTTTGTTGGGAGTAACATTCATGGAAAACATCACAGATATTAAAGCCGTGAATACCAAAACTAAGAGCATTTGGGGAAAAGATGGTAAGTTTAAGGCTCATATGGAAAAGAAGGGTACTTCCTGGCTAACATATGGCTACTCAGGGGTATTTCTTATGTGTACTGTATGGTCTTCTATCCATATATTCAGTGATCTCCATGTTTGGATCATGCAATATAAATGATACTTCAATAGCTTTTAGAAACATTTGCTGCCACACTATTTCTTACGCCTGCTTCATTAATCTGTGTAGTGTACGGTGGACTAGTAGAACTGTGAAAAACATAAGCCTACAGTATTTGTATTGATTGGTGCTACTCCGGGGTAACCACAAGACCACTGCGAACAAATGGCACATCTCATGTGCCATTTTGCTACAAAACAAAACTTGATAAAAAATATCTGTGTTGACTGGGCACATTACAGTACAGGGGTATTTGAAAACCACAATAAAATAAAAACATGCTCAATGAGGTATACCTGTACTGTAAATTGTATCTATGTTTTTGTCTGATAATTATCTTAAATGGTTCAGCTCCTTGGATGGTGAGTATAATTGTACTGTTTTACACACATATACAGTATATCTATTTTTAACATTGTGCTTCTATTCAACTTAGGCTATTAGGGACAATGTTAACTTTAAGTACAGTACAGGGTGTCATAGGTTGCACACCATAGGAAAATTAATGTTCTCTTTTTTTTCAGGTGAAAGAACCAATAGAAACCAATGAGGCTTGGGTAACAGGGACCAAAGGAATGGTCAGTGAGGTCTTTGGACCCCACACCTTCTGATTTTTTCCTCTGGGGGCCCACCTTAAATCTGTTATCTATCAAGACTGCCCAAGGCCCATGATAATCTGTGTTTATGGTCTCTGGGTCCAATTTTAAACCTTTCATAAGTCCGATGTTGCAGGTTCCCGGTCCCAAAGTCCACTGCACCCATGATATATATCACTCTTTAGTTCCCCTAATTCATATGCTTGCCAAACAGTCAACCCCAAAGCTGTGAAAACTAGAGTGGTTCTACTGTACTGTACTTGTACCATGAATTGTAAACAATATCCAATTTGAAATTCATTAATTTGTACTGTAATCTATAGTACGAGAAGTACATTAAATTTTGGTCCATATAAAATACAGGAAACTCTTATTTTGGACTTGAAATATTTCAGAATTCACCTTCTTCTGGACATTTAGAGACCATCTGTAAAAAAGTTTATACATGTGGGAGAATTCCTAAAGCTCAAAATAAAGATCACAAATGCACACACAGACTCACACTCAGCTTAACATAGTACTGTACATATATTGCTGTGAAATACTATATTGTGTGTACAGTAACTACAAAGCACTTATACCATATCCAACTGTATCACAAAATTGTCTTGATCTTGTAGTGTTAAATCAACTCTTTTATGCTTTTTAGATAACTGAATGCTTTCCCATCGTGGTTTCAAAATCATACTGTTTTGTGTTTATGGTAAGCAGTGTCAGTAAAATAAAAGACAGTCATGGAGCTCAACGTACAGTGTGTTCAGTGGTGGAAGAACTGAAAGAACGACTCAAGTGGCAGGAAATGTAAACTTTCACTTTTGCTTTCACTCAACACACTCTTTCAACTATAGTTTTTTTTTAACTGTTGGTAATAGGTTAAGAGGCCACCCCCCCCCCCTGCAGCTCCTTGTTTTTTTTAAGACGAACGTTATGTGAATATGTGGTGTGTACACTTGATTCTACTACTGTATTTATAAAATGGTGATTATTGTCCATTGCTTTATATGTTTGGTGTTATTTCTCTTTAAATATATATATATATATATATATATATATATATATATATATATATATATATATATATATATATATATATATATATATATATATATATATATATATATATATATATATATATATATATATATATATAATAATTAGTGAAAACAGAAGAAGTAGTGATGAATGTGTTCTCCAAAAGCGTAAATTTGTTTATGGCTTCGTCGACAGTATATAATCTTTTTTTCCCACTCATAAATTTGTTAAACTAACTAAATCTTGAAAGTTAATGTTTTCAAGCCATTAAGTCTTTACATACATTAAATTCAGCATTAAAGCAAGCTAGAATTGGGTATCCTTAACAGTTTTATATGGATTCATTTGCGATATATAAACACTGAAAAAATATTAAGTATGAGCCAATGAGCTACATGGGGAGGGGGCGGGGCCTTGTGCCATCAGCTAAAAACACCAACTATGGTGTCCATGACCACAAAATACAAATGGAAAGTTGATGCTTACAGATATTACAGTGAATATGCAGATAGCAACAGGTATTACTGAGAAAAACTCTTGGATATATGCATAAAATAAATCTCAATTTTATATCTTTTTACCAACTATCCAAATCTCTCATCTTTAAATTAAAAAACTTAAAAGTTCCAGTAAAGTATAAGATTGTCCTGTATAACATTACAGAAATTCAAGCACATACCACTTGCAAACTCTTCAAGAGACGATGAACATCCACCATATCCGCTAATATAAGAAGGCGAGTGACAGCAGATAGTAGATTCCTGGCAGCACGGACCATGTTGCCACGCTTGACACTACTGCAAGGGTCTTCGGCAAACTCCCGGGCAGCTCGTGACATAGTATCTCCTTGGGCAGGGTAATGGAGAGAGTGAGTCATTCTTAATTCCCAAGCCTATGATAACCTTCCAGAGACAAATCTACTAAAATTAACTTTAAAACAAACAAAGATAAAAAGATACAAGAACAGGCTTACAAAAAAATAAAAAATATATATTAATGAAGATTTAAAAAGAATGATCTTGTATGAAAGTCAAGATTTAATTATCTAGAAAGGTAAATTGAAGTGAGAAATACTGATGAACTAAAAGAGAGAGAGAAAAAAGGCACTTGGCACCACAACACAATATCTGATGATGATGATGATGATGATGATCTCATCTTCAACAAGGGGAGAAGAGTATTACAACAGGCAGTAAGAAGTAAACCTACATAACCATGGTATATAAAGGCTTCATTTACCACAAGTGCCATGGATCCATACATAAAGCTTAAGGGGAGAGTCCGGTTTTTGGTGTAGGTGCTTTTAATTTTGGTCGATTGCTATGATATTCCTGTCATCAATCAAGGATCATATGCACATCAATTCTAGCCCCATAACCCCCCTTCCGAAATTTTCAACCCTTTACACATTTTCTCATACAGTATTTGTCTAAATTTTCAAGGTATAATATCTCCATTACTTCTTTCTATTTTGCCTTGAAATTGATAGTACTAAGATATCTAATTCTGTCATTGAATATTACAGGGCGACATGTTTATTTTTGTCTTTTGGGTTTAAGGATAAATTTTTTTTAAATTTGGTTGAAATTTTCGTGAAAATATCGAGATTAAATATTCAACCAAAAATAAATCTTACAAGATAGGAAAAACTGGAATCTGTAGTATGTTGAGGAAAGGTTTTTCCACTGCTGGTTGGTTGTTTGTTTCATTGAAATCAGTCAAAAACTGGCAGAGAACTGTCAATCTGAGTAACGGAAAAGTTAATTTTGAGATACAGGCTGATAAAGGTTCTCAACCTTTCTCCCCTGTATAAGTTCTCAGTCTGAGCTGATTTTACATGTAATAGCTTGTTTTTTTGTGTATTTTTACATCTCCAACTGAACTCCAGTTATATTCTTTACGTGAGGTAAAGGGTAGGGGACTCCGAGGGGTAGAAGGCTGGGGCTGGGCTGCCTCAGGTGTCCCCCGAGAGGGTTGTTACTGTCGTTGGTTTTAGCGAATATTTTTGTCTTTCATCCTCTTCGATTTAGCAATGCTCTTGGCATGTGCTTTCTTTTGTTGTCTTTTATGTTTTGAATCGCATGCCATCCCGATACTCAAAGAGAGAGGCCTGGTACAGCAGTACAAGTGAGGTAAGATATGCGGTGCAGCAGAGTACACACCTCTCCTTGACAAGGTCCGGGACCTTCTGATGACACGTGACTGTTTGTCTACCCCTCCCTATACTCGCCAGAGAGGAAGATAGTTGCCTGAAATGAATTTTTAAAGTATTTTTTGTGCTATTTATTCCATATTTTTGGGTAAAAATAATTTACCACAATCATTCATGTCTACCCAAGGGGATGTAGGAAGGTTTGAGGCAGAGGGAGGGGGGAACCATACATAACTGCATAAATATTACGAATATTGCCATAAAACTCCATCCAAACACGGCTATAGGCAACACCTTTGCTCGGAAATTTTTTCACATTTTATGATTTTTTTCATTGATCTAAGCCAGGCGCTCCCCCTAACTAACGTATTGACGCCGAGGCAAAAGATACACGAGTAGATTCGTTCTCTTTTTACCCGAACTTGACCAATACCCAGTAAGTTGGTGGGAAGGTGAATCAGGTGGTCAAAAATGATGATGAAAGTAAAGACACAAAAACACTGTCAACACATGCATAGAACTGAAATTACAATTATCCAGGTAAAGTACTGCATGATTTTGAATAGATGAGAAGTGATTGGTAAATATGGAAATTGTTGTAATACTTTTCTGTGAGATCACACGCAAATTATGGTGAAGAATAACAATGATAAGACAAGGACACGTATAGAATTTTTAGAGAAGAATAAACAATAAGGAATGATACATGTGCAGGGGGTCAATGCAGAGAAAAGATCTTAGAAAGTGACTCCATACTACTACACTACATTATGGGAAAAAAAAAAAAAAATATATATATATATATATATATATATATATATATATATATATATATATATATATATATATATATATATATATATATATATATATATATATATATATATATATATATATATATATATATATATATATATATATATATATATATATATATATATATATATATACTGTATATAATAATAATAATAGCAAAAAACACCAGAGCAAAATACTGTTATGTAAGAATTAATGAAACAATAACATACTGTTTGTAAATCTAAATAAAGGGATGATAATTGATAATACCTGTCGCATTAACATGAAAAACAATTTCTAATCAAAACAGGTGCAGTAAAATGCCATGCAAGCAACATTACGAATGCCTACCTGTCTTTCTGACTTCCTCCACAGCACCGAGCATCTCTCCCCTGATGTCGGGGTTCTCATATGCAATCTCCTCCCCCCTCTCGATGAAATTTGCCGTGGCTGCCTCAACTGCCGCCACCAAGACATGAGCTCGTTTACTTCGCCCTTTCTTCTTCTTGGATGGTCCTTTTGTGTTGACAAGGGTTGTGACCTAATCATTGAGAGTGGAGTTAGCATAAACATTACTCATCACAGTAGAATGCCATTCCGCCTTAATAATATTCAGTACTGTAACATGTTTTCCTGTAGAGGGAATACATACTTCTATATTGTAATGAATATGGTACATAAAACGGTGCCAGGAGTGATGCCTGATACAACTACTGATATCAAATAGTGTTCAATCAAGGAGCATAATTATATTAGTGACCATCATCAATCAATATCACACCAGATCCTGTGTTTTGCAAAAAAGACATACTGGTATTAACACAAGCTGTGAGAATGTTTCCTTGGGAACTAAACTTAGTGAATGAAACAACAAGATTTAAAAATCATTTGAAGAACTCCATATCAAATTAGAGTAACTTTTGACTGAATTTTAATATTTTTTCACAGACCTCAACTAAACCTGACTCATTTAAGTTCCATAAAAAATGAAATTTACTTATTTTTATGTCCAAAGACACTTGGTGACAGAAATGTAAAGCTGAGGATGTGTGACCCTGAGCTGTGCTTTATGATTGTTCAAAACTCTGGTGCTTTTTATTGCAAGGGAGTGATTTTGGTGTCACGGTAAAGATTTGATTCATTTATTCTTTTTTATTTTTTAATGGGAAAAGTTAAAAAGTGCAAAGAATTTCTTCAATATCCATACTCTTGGATCTTGAGTCATAATGTTGTCTTACCGTTGCATAGTAGTGTTATCAAATACAGGACGTATTGTAAGCCTCCCATTTAAATGAAAAACCATGAAAAAACTGGATGGTGCATTCCAAATTTCTTCTCATGCAATTTTTAAAAACCATGACAAGATAGCCACCCATTCTTACTTTTCTGTTATCCTACTCAAACCCTCCCTAACCCTTTTCAATATTTCACCCAAAAAATTCTTCTGGGTAATTTTGATACTGAAATCTCACTCATTCAATAATTAGAATCTAGAGCATGACTCATGAACGTTCACAAGTCAAACTGACTCAAGGTCAGAATTCTGAGACCAAGTGTCTTAAAAGTGGGTAGGTGGGAAGGGGGGGGATCACATTATGGGGGTGGGGGGTTGTTTCCAGTTAACAAATAAATGAATACCACACCATATTACTCCTTGTAAATTGCAGATATCGTATGTAAAGATTAGAGCAACATAGATGAATTAATAACATTAAACCGTGATAAGGTTGACAGGATGCAGGTGAAATTCAGAGAGAAAGACGGGAAAGAAAAATGGGAATGATGACATGAAAATGATGTGGAAAATGGAATTAACTCTCACAAAAAAAGATCTTCAGGGTATCACCATAAATCTACCGGTGACTTAAATTTTGATACCTTGAATCCAAGATGACTGCCAGGTAGGTCTTCTTGAATATTAAAAACAATGGAAATTAAAGACTCAAAGTGGCCCATGAGAAGACTGTGAATGGGAAGATACATGAAAAATGCACTTCTTACTAAAGCTTCCAGTGAGGCTAGAAATTTAGATGATCAGGAGCCATTATGCAAAAATGTAATAAACTGTTTGAAACACCTGACCAAATATACGAACTAACATTAACGTCTACTGCTCTATAAAGCACCCCAACTGGTCTACAATTTTAACTAATTGGGAGCCAGACTGACTAATCACTATGTATAAATTTTGCTTATTATGTAAGTAATAAACTGCTTAAGGCATCGAGTAGGTAGTAGGCAGCTATCAAACAGGGAGGTACTACTGCCTGGGAAGATATTGGAAGCATAATGTGTTGTCTAATGGTAGACCCTGCTGCTATGTGGCATCACAAAAATTGTGACCAAGTTCCAGGTTACTGATCTGTCTTTCTGCCACATTTACACACAATTGCAGGGTTTCAATTGTTTCTCTTGCTTTGACAACACAACATACATACTGTATATCGTTTCTCACTTGATTTTTTTCATTTTTGTGTTTCTTTATAGTTCTTTATTAGTTATTATTATTATTGTTATCATAAGTATTTTATTTTTATTTTATTTTTTATTTATTACTATGAATTATTATTTTATTTATAATTTTGTATTTTTTATATAAATTTTATTTACTGTACAGTACTATGAATTATTATTATTATTATTACATTTCCACCCCCCAGGCCACGGTGTGGGTCAGTGACCTGTACCTGGGTGGGCTAATCCCCGGAGAAAAAATTAATAAATAAATAAATAAATAAATTAAATAAAAAGTGTATAGGTACTTACAAAGGTTCACTGAAATCTACTAAGCAAACAGTTAGGGCATATGGATGTAACAAAGTCTTTCAGAGGGACAACTATATACTGTACTGTATTTTATACCATAACAAAAATGTCTATCAAACAGGCTTAGAAATAAAGATAAAATTATCAATGATGAATGAACTCAATGATTAGTAAATAAGAAGACACCCAATGTGTAAGTAATAATCCAATATAAAAAAATTAACAATACAGTAATCAATATAATAATACAGTACAAAGCAAATTAAACAAATCATCAGTTAATCTATGGCTTATAAACATATTTGGATTCCTTACTTCACAACAAGGGACACACACCGCACACAAATTGCAATGAGAGATCAGTGCACCTACACATCTAATTTACTCTGACTGTGACAATAAATTAACATGTTTCACTGACTAGTCTGACATGACCCCTCCCCCTTCCATATGTTAAGACCCAAACCCTGAATGACTTTGAAGAGGTCAAGGCTACCAAAGTCTAGTTAAGTCTTAAGATAGCAAAAATTCAGTCTAGTTCTGATAATAGTTCTTGAGAAATGCTGCTGAGAAATGTACGACAAACAAGCGAAAAAATAATTATACAATGTTAATATGTCTCCTCTCCTAAAGTGAGACATAATTAAACAAAAGAAAGAAATTCAGAAAAAAGCAACAAATAAAGCAATGAATTCTATGAAAACCAAAGTTAAAAACAATAGACTAAAATCACCAGCTTATCACTGGTGTTACTTTTTAATAATACAAAAACTACTACAGTATATACAATTCTTGAAACTTTGTGTGACACTGAAGAGCAAAAACACAAAATTCCTGAAACAAAACAGCATTAGTTCAACTTTCACTGCAGAGATCATGAAAAGAGAAACAATTATTTGATAAGTGTTTTGTTTTGTACAAGAACTGTTGAAAACCTGCAACTGGCAAGCAACTTAGTCGAAAATCATACCCCAGAATATGTTTTGTCCACAGTCCTTTCTACAAGTCCTCAAGTTAGTACCTGCAATGTGGTTTTGAATTTTGTCCCCCAACTGTAAATTACAAGTTCCCTATCAATTAATCTTTCTCTTTGATCCATTCTTTACTTTGAATTCTTAAAAGTTGTCTGTTGTAAAAACTATGACTTAGTGAAGTGTATATCGACTCTGGCAGATGACTCACCTAAAACAAAACAAAGCAACTTTGATTCAGAGAGTAATTCTGGCAAACAGAAACCAATTGATTGGAGTAAATAAAAAGACAAGTTACCTGTATAACAAGGGGCTCTAGTGTCTTTTCAACTGATCTGGTCTTGATCTCCAGATTCTTAATATCCCAGCGGAGAATGAGACCACTTCCATTGTCTGTGTTTGACATGGTGGGGTAGTTGGTCTCTGGCATTGTGCAGGTGTGGTAGTGGTTTTGTTCTACAGTATCAAGGTAAACTCTCTTTCAATCAATTTTCAACAGTCTACAATTAACAGGTTATGTAATCATTCACTTTTGATAGTTAATCTGTGTGTAGTTGTTTGTCTTTGTTTTTCTTTCACGTTTTTTTCTAAATTTTTTAAATTTGTTTCACTACAGATAGGAGTTTATACACTTTCTAGAAAGTTCATGCACTAATTCACTTGCTGGGTGTTTAACCTTATCATGCACTTTTGGCTAAAGTGAACACTACATACAGTACACATCAACCTAAGAAAATGAGAAGAAAAGAAACAAAAATTAGGAGTTACCAAAACAACCCTAGATGTGGCTTAGTGATGCTCAAGTGCTCAGGGAAGCTAAATTTATATCAGCAAATAAAAACAAACTACAGTACTGTATAAGCAAACATTTCAATTCACATGTATATATATATATATATATATACACACAGTGCATACATACACACACACACACTTGTATATACTGTATACACCGAGTATATATATAAACTGTAAATAAATAAACAAAATAAAACTAATAAAGTGCAGAATGCTGTTCAAACTACAAGTGCAACTTAAAAACGATTAAAACACTTTTATTTAAGAAAGAAGGTTGTGACATACAGTACAACAACACCCTATGCTTATACAAATACATGCAACACAGCAATTAAAGTGACTCCAGACAAATGTAATGCCAGTTATGCTGTATATCATTCAATAAATCTTAGGTTTTAATCCAACACACAAATATATAAAAAATATAAAATTATGCAAAGCATTGTTTTATATATTCAAACTACAGCAGAGTTCTGTATGGAATAAGGGGAGTTGATACACGTAAATTATATTGATAATTAATTCACAATCAACTTGATGGTCCAATAGTGTCAGAGAAACTTTCAAAACAAGACAACAGGAGTGAGTCAGTGGGAACTTGGGTTGTGATGTGGTCAATAAAAATCAAAAGCAGCCCATATGCTTATATACCTCAATAATCCAGAACCATGTGATCTATTTTTTGTCATGTATGAAAAATCACTCAAAAATAAAGATGCAAAAGGCATGAAATATTGTACTCTACAATTAAGTACTGTATCCCTAAATAAGGCACATAACCTGCAAAGACTCAATTATCACCCATAAGTGATTTCATAAACAGTACGGTATATAACGGTCCTGGATATTAAAGGTACTGAGATATTGTAGAGGAAAAAGTTCTTGACAGAACTAAATCACATTCATGTGCAACAGGAAGGGGTAATATTAGAGATCTAGGTTGGTGGTGGTTCTACTGTAACTTTCAAGTGATTCTGTATCAAAAGCTATTGTTAAAGTTGCAACTTTTCAAATGATTCATGTACCATACAGGAGGAGGTGGAGAGGTATTAAATCCTTGTCTAATATTTTTGTTTCACTTCAGTACAAAAGCTGTGTGTTTTAAAGTTAGAACAAAAATAAGTTCGTTTTCTCCACTTGTACCGGCAAAAGTTTCTTAGCGACCTTTAATTTGAAATATCAAGCAGCAATTTTCAATGTAGTACAGTAGTCTGCTATATTTTCCATGTACCTAATTTTTCAGTGCCTCCTTTTAACTAAAAGAATGCAGAGAACATACAGTTTTCTAATGAACATTAAATTTCTTCTCAATCTCGTCATCACTGAAAAACACAAGATACATTTTCACATTCATGTACAGTAATTGAAAAAGTTAACTGTGAAGACCTTAAGTCAGTACTGTATACTATTTCACTGCATTAGCAGCACATAGTAAGGGTATCACCAATGCTTTACATCATCCTTTGGTCCTTAAAATTGCTTTAGATTTCTAATAAATTATGATTAGCTTATTCCACACAGCATTGAAGGTGCACAATTTGTGTGTGTCACAATGTTTTGCTGGTTCTGAGCATCACTATTTCACACATGAGGAGCCAAGTGCTAATGGACTCAGAGTGAACACGGTTTACAAATTTATGTATTTAATAGCTAAACTGTATTATAAAATGCTCATCTATCTTACAGAATATGTGAAATCCTTGTTCTGTACTGGACATACTCTCAACTGAAATACAAAAGCCCCTTTCAGCTCAATTCGGAAGCATTTAATACAAGCCTAAAAAAAGTACAATAGTACAGATGAATTTACAAAAACTAGTAATACCATACATTGCACACATCTAAAATATCAACACAAAGGTGTACTGTAAGATAGTTAGCCTCTGAGCCATCAGCATAGCCCATACAGTGTTGCCAAATCCAGGGGCTATATTTCAAATCAAAGCTCGACATCACCTGAATCACCAACGGCTCTAGAGTCTTCTCCACGGACATGGTGCGGATCTCTAGGTTTTTAGGATCCCACTTGAGAACCACAGGGGCTCCTGTGTTATAGTGATCCAGAGTCATGGTGGTACAGGTAGATACTGAAGAAGGTAATGATGTTCTGCCGGGTACAGTTACGACACGTGCAGACACTTCTTGCAATGGTTCTCTGTGTTACCTATGTATGTGGATCTGAAAAGGAATAAAAAAGAGTAAATTATATGCCAATGTAAGTTAGTCATAAACGGAAAGGCAGCGTAAAAATTCAGTAGACCTATGTACGTAATTCTGAAAGAGAAAACAGCCAATAAAAATTCCTATTCCAGAAAGTGAGAGAAACAGAGGACAAATGGATTCTTGAGGTCTAAGTTTACAATGTAGCAAGTTAAGTAAGTATACCGTGGCTTAATAATTATATAAAAACGTTTCATCCACTTTACTGTATACAGTACTGTACTTAAACTTTGAGAAGAAACTATAACAGTTTTCCTTATACCGTAATGCAAATACTGTATGATGTAAATTCATAAGTGCATATGTACTGTAGTGTATAAGTGTGAATGCATGCTTGAATATGTATGGAAAGTGATCACGACATTTCATTAAAGGACATGACTATCTGTCTGTAAGTGTGTCTATTTCAGTCATAGATTCAAAACGGATGTAGTTAGAGATCTGAAACTTTACACATATTATACTGTACAGCATATCACATGGGTCAAGGGTGGTACGTGCAAGACTCAAAACTCTTCACCAATTGAGATATCACAACGCCGATTGACGAAGGTGGTTTATCCTAGCCAGGGAGGGCAAACTGTAATGGCCAAGGTTATACAGTATATAACTAACCTGAGCAAAGCCTGGCAATTTTGCTGGAAAACAAATAAAACAATAAAAATAAGTATTTTATTACAGTGCTGTTCCCTACAGTTGTCTACCACTGTCTAACTTAATGTTGCAACAAAACTACAGTAACCATCCACAGAATAAACCACATCTGCTGCAACACTACAGTTCAACACAAAATAAAACCAACATTGATAGTGGAAAAATTTCTGTGCTAACAAGATTAAGTTTATTGTCTAAAGATTCTGTAGACATCTAAAAAATAAAAACTTACAAAGCACTGTCACGCGTTTATAAATGTTCCTATGAAACAATACAAGGAAAGAGAGGAGAACAAAGCACAACGCCCAGCCCTTTCCTCTCCAGGTACACCTGTGACGTTCTTTCCGGTTGACCTACTTGTCTCCTCCCACACAAGACTTTGCTGCTTCTCACCTCATCCGTGTGTGTGTGTGTGTGTGTGTGTGTAAAAATAAAACCTATATCTATAATTCTACCCACAGGATATAAATGTACTCTAAACCAGAACATTTATCTAAAGTAATATACTGTAGATAAACAAGATTGCATTAGGTGAACTCAGCCAATAACAAAAGGAAGAAAACCAAGAACAAAACACACGTACTGTCAGTCAGTCAGTCAGTCAGTCAGTCCACTTGCGCTGCGGGTTAGTTTATCAGTAAAGTCCGTGAATCATCGCCACACTGTTGAAGGTCTGACACACACACACAACCCTCTCCACCTCCACGGACCACCCCCCACCACCACCTGAAGCAACCCGGACCTCCCCCCCACCTCTCACAAACCCCATTCCCGTGTTGTACTGAATAGACCACTTTATAAGCTATACAGTAGTAGTAATAGTAATAGTCTAAGATGTACTCAAATGCTCCCTCTGCCTGTAGACTACCTCACTCACATCTTACCTCCACACCTCTACCTCACTCCATCTTTAACCTGACACATTTTACTAGTTTATCGCTCTGTATTTTTTCATCCTTCTCTCATTCGTCTTCGTGTTCAGACACCATCAGCGTCAACGTGTCGGCAGCATGATAAAGCTCGTTATATCCCCCGCTTGGTTTGAAACCCGTCGGCATGGCAACCACCTGGACGATAAGATTCCGGATAAGGACACGACCAACAGTATATCAGTCGTTTGTTATCGTTAATGCTTTGTCATCTCGTTCTCTATTACTAAACTCATCGGTGTTTTCTCTATGTAAATATAACAATAAGGACAAACAAAATATATTAAAATTAAATCTTAAGGTTGTGGTGATATTCCCAAGTGAGATAAATAGAGGGTGGAGTAGCAGAGGTAACTTCCGCTAAGGTGCATCGATAGCTGGCAGCCTCAGGCAACTCCCACCACCACACCACCCACTCCGACATACCGTAATGATGACGTCATGACTTACCACATCCCGCCCATCCCGCCGCTGCAGACACACACACATGCATCATGGTTTCCCAACGCATGTTATATGCAATAGCAAGGTTTAACATTCTCTAAGACACAACCTACAGAATAAAATGACAAATTGAGTTTTTACCACCCGGAAAGCGACTGGGAAAACACCACACTAAATTAACCACACCGTCTTCAGCCAATTGTACATCTTGTATCAGTATAGGAGGGCGAGTTATTAGACATTATAAGAGCGAGCTGCTAATTGCTTTAAGTTGTTCACACACATACCTACAGACACGCCCAGACACTAGAAAACCTACACGCCATAACACTTGACTTGACACCATACACCTACACCACCACACCACACTCCACCACCAACCCGGAAAGACTATAACGACATTCCAATAATCACACAACACACCCGTTTTCAACCTCCGTATAAGATTAAAAATAACACCAAATAATAAATAAATTGTGACGACTTATATATAATTTTTCCTCCACAAATTTCGCGACATAAAAAAAAATCTTACAATTAGTTCAACTTAAAAGTGGTTGTTAATGACATTTGTTTGGCCGTCAACTGATACTGCCCACACAAGCGCCCACAGTCTAGTTATGTCTGCCACCACATCAATTAAGAACAAAAGCAACGTCAGGGATGATAAACAGGTAGAGTAAAGCTGATATATCATTACGGTACTACACTAAGCTTCCCTCTCCCGAGTGGGCGTAATTAAACCCTAAGCTGACCATCACGGTGTACTGTATTGTTATGTCGAGAACAGGTTCTTCCGCTGCTGTTAAAATCCCTTCAATGAAATTCCCAAGTGGAAAATGTTACTACAGTCTTACACAGCTGACGGG